CACACCAATCCCATAGAGGGTGGATCTGATCTCTGATTTTCAAGGGGCAGTGAAATATTTGTACAGAGATTTGTTTTCCAAGTACTTTCCTATACGTTACCTCATTGCAGCCCCCTGAGACCATCATATGGGCAAGGAACGCTTTATTAACCCAGGATGCAAATGAGGACACGGAGCAGGCAGCTGTGGAATACGGCCTTTAGGGTAAGGGTCTGTGCACCTGAGTCCTGACTCCATGGTGCTTCACACCTCTTTCCTCCAGTGCAAAGTACACACAACAACATCCATATCATCTGTCATACTGGATCACTGTTAGGATTAAATGACTGTGATTTGGAATTATTTCAAGAACTGGCATTCTAATGATTGCATTTTCCTTGAGCTGTTCTGTCACTTTAAACTGTTTTACAAAAGAGGAGCAAATAATGCAACTAAACCGATGTATCCATCACCCTCTTCAGCAATTATTAATACAAAGCCAGGTATACCCCTACTTACCCACCCACTTCTTTTTCTTTATTTTATTTATTTGTTTGGGTACCAGGGATTGAACCCAGGAGGGGCTTAACCACTGAACCACATCCCCAGCCTTTTTTATTTTTTATTTAGAGACAGGGCCTCACTAAGTTGCTGAGGCTGGCTTTGAACTCACCATCCTCCAGCCTCAGCCTCCTGAGCTCTGGGGATTTACAGGCATGTGCCACTATGCCTGGCTCTTCTTTTCCTTTCCTAACCAGTTTTCAAAATAATAAGGCATTACCCTAACATCCCTGCAAGGTGACTAATGATTTATTCAGAATTGCTTTAAATATTGTTAGGAATTCATAGTGTTAGACACATTTACTGTATCTCAGTCTATGATATTTAATATCCTCATCGATGTTGCCCTTGACCGGGGAAGCCCCATGACTTCTGAGTCCTTTTGACAGGACACTTGTAGGCTTGGACACCTCATCTGCTTTTTTGGTATGATGAGGTATCCTGGGTTGATCTTGTACATTTACTATTTTTAAATTTAAAATCAGCCACTTCCCTAGGAGCCTGTCTAGAGCCCATAATCTGGTTGCCACCATTCATACGAAGGTGGTCCTTGTTTCTAAAGCTTACAGTGAGTATTTAGGACAAGAATAAAACACACAGAGTCCACAGGGATGCTCCCAGTTCACAGTCAGGACCTCACCTCATGCACCCTGCATTTGTATCTCAACCAGAACATTTTGTTTCTGAGACACACTCATTAGTCATTTGATATACCCCACAGAGACACATACAAGTCTTAGAATAATAACAATAATATCATAGTACCATCAGTAATGTAAAATTTTAGATGGGATACTGGGAATTGAATCCAGTGACACTGTACCACTGAGCTACACCCCCAGCCCTTTTAATTTTTTAGTTTGAGCAGGAAGGACCTCACTAAATTGTTGAGGTGGGCCTCCAACTTGGCAGTCCTCCTGCCTCAGCCTCCCTAGTTGCTGAGATTACAGGCATGCACCACCACACCTGGCTTAATAATATAATTACTGAAAACAGTTTAGGGTTTTCTGGGGAAATGATGGGTGCGTTCTTTTTATCCTTTGGGTACATCTACTTAATAAGGATAATCAAAGTTACTTTGTTATAATTTCTCCACGTATAGCATGCCTACTAATTGAACTCACAGGTCATTTGTCTCAATTTATATTTAATTTTAGGGACTTTACAAAAAAAAATCTTTTTTTTTTTTTTGGTACCAGAGATTGAACCCAGGGGCTCTTAACCACTGAGCACATCCCTAGCCTTTTTTGTATTTTATTTTGAGACAGGGTTTTGCTGAGTTGCTTAGCGCTCCCTAGATTGCTGAGATTGGCTTTGAACTCACGATCCTCCCGCCTTAACCTCCCGAATCTCTGGGATTACAGGCATGCACCACTGCACCCGGGGGGACTTTACAAAAATTTAAATTGTATTTTATAACTATGTCGAGTATTTGTCTATTCCAGAGTCACACAAGAAAGGGTATTCCAAGTCCAACTTCTACCCCTGCCCCTTCATATAATTCCCCTCCTTTAGCTTACGCTTGAGCCTCTTATTGTCTTTTAAAAAATGTGAGCATACACATATATACTTTAAAATTTTTGTATTTGTTTTAATTAGTTACACATGACAGTAGAATGCACTTTGATATGTTGCATATAATGGAGTATAATTTCTCCTTCTTCTGGTTATACATGATGTAGACTCCCACCAGTCCTATAGTCATATATGTACACAGGATAATAATGTCATTTTACTATCCTTCCTCTCCGCATACATCCTCCTCTCCCTTTACCCCCCTCTACCTAATCTAAAGTAACTCTAGTCTTCCCTAGCCCTGCCCCCTTATTGTGAATTAGCATCTGCTTATCAGAGAACACAATCAGTCTTTGGTTTTTATGGGATTGGCTTAGCATGACATTCTCCAGCTCCATCCATTTACTGGCAAATGCCATAATTTCATTCTTCTTTAAGGCTGAGTAATATTCCATCACATATATGTATGCCACATTTTTAAATCCATTTATCTGTTGAAGGTCATCTAGGTTGATTCCATAGTTTAGCTATTGTGAATTGAGCTGCTATAAACATTGATGTGAATGTGTCACTGTAGCATGCTGATTTTAAGTCCTTTGGGTATAAACCGAGGAGTGGGATAGCTGGGTCAAATGGTGGTTCCATTTCAAGTTTTCCAAGGAATCTCCTTACTGCTTTCCAGATTGGCTGCACCGATTTGCAGTCCCACCAGCAGTGTATGAGTGTGCCTTTCCCCCGCACATCCTCACCAACATTTATTGTTCTTTATATTCTTGATAATTGCCATTCTGACTGGGGTGAGATGAAATCTTAGAGTAGTTTTGATTTACATTTCTCTAATTGCTAAAGATGTTGAACATTTTTTCATATATTTGTTGATTGATTGTATTTCTTCTTTTTTTAAATGTCTGTTCAGTTCCTTAGCCCATTATTGATTGGGTTATTTGGGTTTTTGGTGTTAACTTTTTGAGTTTTATGCTGGAGATTAGTGCTCTATCTGAGGTGCATGTGGTAAAGATTTTCTCCCATCCTGTAGGCTCTCTCATCAGTTATTGATTGTTTCCTTTTCTGAGAAGAAGCTTTGTAGTTTGAATCTGTCCCGTTTATTGATTCTTGATTTTACTTCTTGTGCTTTAGGAGTCTTGTTAAGAAAGTCAGATCCTAGGCCAACATGGTGAAGATTTGGGCCTGCTTTAACTTCTGTTAGGCACAGAGTCTCTAGTCTAGTGCCTAAGTCTTTGATCCACTTTGAGGTGGGTTTCATGGAGGGTGAGAGATAGAGGATTAATTTATTTGCTACATGTGGATTTCCAGTTTTCCCAGCACCATTCATTGAATAGGCTTTCTTTTCTCCAGTGAGTGTTTTTGGTGCCTTTTTCTAGTATGAGATAACTGTATTTATGTGCATTTGTCTCTGTGTCTTCTATTTAGTACCATTGGTCTACATGTCCATTTTGGTGCCAATACCATACCGTTTTTGTTGGCTCTGTGGTAGAGTTTAAGGTCTGGTATTGTGATGCCTCCTGCTTTACTCTTCTTGCTGAGGATGGCTTTGGCTATTCTGAGTCTTTTATTTTTCCAAATGAATTTCATGTTTGCTTTTCCTAGTTCTATGCAGAATGTTGTTGGGATTTTAACTGGAATTGCATTAAATCTGTATAACACTTTGGGTAGTATGGCCATTTTGACAATATTGATTCTGCCTCTCTAAGATCATGGGAGACCTTTCCATCCTCTAAGGTCTTCTTCAATTTCTTTCTTTAGTGCTCTTTAGTTTTCATTGTAGGGATTTTTACCTTTTTTGTTAGATTGATTCCCAAGTATTTTTTTTAAGGTATTGTGAATGGGGAAGTTTTCCCAATTTCTCTTACACATATATTTTTGCATTCCTTCCCCTTTTCTTAAATAAATGGTAGCATGTTACACACACTTTTTTTCCTATTGAATTTTTTCAACTAATAGCCCTGGAGATCACAACACAGGCTTATAGGATGTATTTCTAATGTATCTCTAGAACTGAGACTGCCAAGCCAAAAATGCTTATTTATTGATTGCTTGATTGATTGATTGATTGATGCTAGGGATAGAACCCAGGGCCTTGTGCTTGCCAGGCAAGCACTAGCTGAGCTATATCCCCAGCCCACTGCATATGTATTTTGATACATAATTGCCACATTCCCCTCACTCTGGTGAATTTCACTATTTTCTGCAGACACACTTTTATGCAAAGCACATAATTAAAGGAGATCTGTTGTCTGCACTGAAGGCTAAATGATTGCTCATTTAAACCTTGTGGGACTTGAATCCCCCAAATGCTCATTAATGACTGACCTGCTCTGCCAAACTTTATCCCCATTTTACAATAAAGAAACTGAGACACGCAGAGACCAGTGATCCACCATGAGTGACATAGCAACCTTCAAATTAAAGTCCACATCTCCTGACCCTGAACTCAGATCTCCTTTTAGTGTGTTATAGATTTGTTCATGGTGAACTGGGTTTGCTTATCTGGAGATGGGGCGGGGAGGAACAGTAGTTCTTCTAAGGAAGTTAAGAAATTAAAGAGATAATTACAGGTGAATTCTTCCTTGGGTATGGGACAGATTCTTCAAGATATAGCTGAATTGCTTTAAGTGAACAGGACATTAGTAATGAGTCTGTGGTGTGAGGGCGCTAAGACAGGATTTTATGGATGGGAGAGTCAGTCACCCCCTCCCCCAAATCAATATGTTTAAGCACCTTGCTGAACCTGCCTGTTTCTTGCAGAGTTCTTTGAGCTTGGAGCAAAGATGCCGTTATGCTGTGCAAAAATTTACAAATGGACATGAACGAGATGTCATTTTCCTGTTGAATGAACAAAGCTGCAAAACACAAAGTCTTTTTTTTTTTTTTCGTTTTTTCCCCTTTTCCTAGAGTAACCCAGGGCTTCTCCTCTGTGCTTGCAGGTTGATTGACTTATGTGCAACCTGGAACACTGGAGTGTGCTTTCCCTCCACAGCCTGGAGCCGAGCCTCCTCCGGTGTTGCAAGGCAGGGGCTGAATGAGGCAGAGGAGGTGAGTGGGGCCCCAGCCTGGGGTGGGGGTGGCTGCCAAGATGTGCTCCTCTAGCCCTTCTCTTTGATGACAGAAGGCTCTTTGCCTGGCCCCAGAAATCTTCTGAGGGATCTCCTTCCTTCTCCCAGAGACAGAAGCCCAGGCCCTCCCTGGAGGAGGCTGCAGCTGAGGAAGCACTGGCTCCTCCCCCAGCAGGTGCAGTCAGCCAGCATTAGTGTCCCCATGTCCCCGCTGTCCACCTCAGTTGAAAAATTAGCCACTGGCTTTGTTTGTGACCTGCATCCCCCCCACTAAGCCTGGGCCTCCACAACTGGGGAGCCTCCTGAGTGACGGCCCTGGCAGATGGGGCGCAGTCCAAGAACACCCCCTCTAGGCGGGGCATTGGGCCCTGGCAGATGGACAGCTGCCCAGGGTGCAGGAAGCAGCCAGGCCCACATCACGGACTCGCACCCTGCATCCGAGCCTGCGTTGTTCCATTCTGGGGTAGAATTCCCTCCTCCTCCAGCAGCTCCTGCCTTGCAGGATGGTAGGGGAAGGCAGGCAAGACGCAAGGGCTGCAATTTTATCAGAAGAGTAACTGGGGGTAGACACAAGCAGGGAGCCTGGAGGCTCAGGGATGGGAGAGTCTGGCTTGGAGGCCGGGATCCTCTTTTTCTTTTGAGTTTGAGCATCTCTGCCTCATTGTGGTGTCTTGTGTTTTCCAAGAAAAAAGTTGGAATGGAACTGGGGAAGCAAGCAGAGTTTAAAAAGAGGAGGTAGCATGCCCTGGTGACATGGGTTTGGGATCTGAACAGGTAGTCCAGCCCTACTTGCTGTGTGACCTCTGGAAAGCTTCTTAATCACTCTGGGTCTCTCAGTTCCTGGCTGACACAATGGAAATAGTAATGGAAGAGCCCTGCACAATGTCCGGCATATAGTAGGTGTTCAATAAACCAAGGTTATTAGTAGACAGTAGACATATGTTTACTTATATCAGGGTAGTCTCTCTGTGGGTCTTTTCAGGGCAAAGCCTTGTCACAGAGCAGTGCCAGGTTTCAGGGACCCCCTGAGAGATTCATCTGACCGTGGTTTTTCACCCTGTCATTGTTACTACATATCATACTTGAATATGCGGATAGTTGGGCGGGGGGAGGTTACTATATGTGGAGGACTCTGATCACAAAAATGGTGTTTATTGAAATGGGCACTTTGTATATGCAAAACCGAATGGGGACAGACCCCAGATTTGTGATGGAATCAGGGAGTTAGTCCAGCTTCGCGCCACCATGCCCCTCTCCCTGTATTTTTTCACAGACCCGTCCTATCCCCATCCTCCCTGGGCCCATGTATTATGCTGGGTGGCCCAACCAGGCCCCGCACTGGGAAGCTGCGCCCCCTGTCTCTGATGACAGGCACTGCACGTCCGCAGAAACTCTTCCCATCTAACCTGCCCAGAGCTCAGATCCTTGTCCTTTGTGTGGCGGGTCCGTTTCCGTTAGCCGTGTCTCCTAGCCCTCAACCGGATTCTGGGATGTGAGCTAGGCTGGTGTTGTTCCATTTGATGGACAAGCAAACTGAGCCTCCAAGAAGCTAATCCCCACAAGCTCCACAAAACTAAGGAGCATGAGAGCCACCGGGAGAACTCTGATGCCCTGAGCAGAGGGTTGTTTTCTCACTATGACATCACACGGCCACCTCTAGTGTGGGGTACCCCATCAGAAGGGGAGCATCCATCAGAGCCTTTTGGACACACAGAGAAACCTAAGACCAGACAAAGGGGGCAGAGAACATTTGCAGGCAGGGACAGCTGGCCACTGAGGGAGCAATGGGTTATGAGAGAAGGGAAGCTCATCTAGGTTTCTTTAGCTGGTGACAATAATCACCATCTGGATAACCAACATCAAGGGGTCCCCGTGCACCACCACCAGGCAAGCAGTTCCCAGGTGTCCCTCCTCACTGCAGCCCTACAAGGTGGGGCCACTTGTCACCTACACTTTACTGATGAAGCAAAGTACATGAAAGTTAAAGAAATTCCCCAAAGCCCCATCTACGAAAGCCGGCACCTGGGTTCGAATCCCAGCAGTCTGGCTCTGGGACCTGAGCAGTTGACCCTCTGAGTTTGTGGCTACGTGTGGTGTTCAGGTGGCTTCTTCCAAGCTTCATCACAGCATTGTATGATGTTTCTGAGCAGGTGCCAGCCGGGCTCCGGGTGTGACGTAACTTCGATGCTCAGGAGGCTGGGAAGCCTCCTAGGAGTGAGTTCTCCATTTCTCGGGCTCTCCCCCCTTTGTTCTGAGGCCCCTGCCATCTGGAGCGGCCTGGGCATCTGCTCCTGAGCCTCGCCCTTCTCCCTTCTCCTCCCACCCCAGCATGAGGCACCTTCCTACGCTCAGCCTTGTCCCCACCCCCTAGGGTTTCCACTCATTGTCAGCTCAGGTCACCAGGAACAGACACCTGCCTTCTGTCACATGGCAGAGAAACCAAACAGCTTCCCCAGGCCTTCAATTTCCCAAATGGATCCATTTGTTTAATTGCACTCACCCTCCCCAGCATGTCAGCAAGACGCGGGGCCTGCCCTCTCCACTGCAGGCCAGACTCAGGCTCCGGGGGCAGGGCTGGGGATTGATTGACAGGTGCAAGGTTGCAGCGCTCCACTAAGAGCTGTTTGGTTTGCTCCTCCGGCCCCAAGCCAGTTCGGGCCACAGAGGCTGCACCTACACATAGGCATTGATCATAGGGGTAGAGATAGGGCCAGGGTGGAGGTGGCCACGGTGAGAGCCGGTCCCCTCCCTGGCTACCTCTTTTCTGTGAAGTGATGTCTTTCCTGTCCCCTGGCCTTTCCGCTCGACCTTTCTACCGAGCCTGAGCTGTGAGCGCCTGGACAGCTGGTGCCTGTTCTCGTTTCTGATAGATACGAGGACCCCAAAGGGCAGCAAACCCAAAGCCTTCTCTGCACCTCCAGAGCCAATGCGTCTTTGGCGTCAGCCCGCATCATTGCCAACGCTTCGCAACCAGACTCCCAGACAAACAGTACATCTTAAAACTCAGAGAAAAAAAACCCTGTCCCTTCTGTTGCCACCCCTGTCGCTCCCCCTCCCCCTCGGCCCCTGCTTTCACAGCCCCTCCAGCCCCGGAGCCCGCTGCGGGATAGCAGTTGGGTGCAGAGTGCTGACACACTGGGTGGAAATGCAGACGGCAGAGGAGGGAGGGAAGGAACAGATGTCGCTCCCCCTGCGGCTGAGTCCTTTCCTTCCCAGCCCCACTAGTCACAGCAGACAGGAATTTAAAAAATGCCGTCCTTGGAACATTAGCAGCCAAATCACTGCGGACAGCAGGATGGCAGACACTTCAGAAGAAGTGACCAGCTCCCTGTGGACGCCTAGGTCCTGGGCCCTGATGGGAGAAGCTGGAGTTGGGGAGCACTTTGGGGAAAGAGAGGCAGGAGAGTGGGGAGCCCAGAGGTGCTTTGGCTGGCTAGGGATCTTGCAGGAGCCTCCCTTTCTCTCTGGCCCAAAGTAGACAGTCCCTGTGAGATGCCCAGGCGCCAAGAGTAGAAACTGCGGTCCCTTGACCATCCAGCCAGGTGTGGAGATCTGCCCAGGCGGTGTCTACTTGATAGGGGACAAAGTAGATTTGAAAAACCAGTTTGTCCAAGGCCGTGTAGCAAAGCAGCCCACCAGTTGTGATTTAAGGGAAAGAAGAAAGGCCCAGTGATTTTTGTTTTGTTTTGTTTTGGTTTTTGGTACCCAGGGATTCAACCGGGGGCGCTTAACCACTGAGCCACATCCCCAGCCCTTTTTTTGAATTTTATTTAGAGACAGGGTCTCCCTGAGCTGCTTATGGCCCTCCCTAAGTTGCTGGGCTGGCTTTGAACTTGCAGTCCTCCTGCCTCAGCCTCCTGAGCCCCTGGAATTACAGGCAAGAGCCATCGCTCCCAGCTCCAAGTTCTTATGTGATTGTTTTCTTATTAATAACTTTCAATGGCAGTTTTATTGAGGCATAATTCACATTGTACAAATTTATCTATATCGAGTATACAACTCAATGATTTTTATTGTGGATAGTGAATTGTTAGCACCCAGAGTTGGGTAACCACCAGTGCAATGAATTTTAGAGCATTTCATCACCACTCCAAGCCCCCCCCAAACCCATACCATTCACAATCACTCCCCTTCCCCACCTCCACCTGCTAAGCAACCACTAATCTGTTTTCGGTCTCTGGGATATGCCTATTCCGGATATTTCATATAAATGGAATCCCACACTCTGCGGCCTTCTTCGTCTGGCTTCTTTTACTTCCCAAGATGTTTCCACGTTTCATCCACATCATCATGCGCATCATGGCTGAAGAGTCCTGAGGCATGGAGAGGCCCATTTGCTTGGCATGACGAGGCATATGGTACCTCTGTGCTGAACTCTTGGAGGATCCCTGGGTTTTCTGGTCCCAAGCCTCCCTTTCTGCCTGTTGTCCTTAGTCTCCATCTTCTGTCCTGCCTGGGTCCCTCCTTCTTACCCTTTCTAAATCTTGGGCCCCACCCTCGGGGACCTGCCACACAGGATTATTGTCACTGGCTGCTTCAGCCCTTCCTCTGAGCCACTCCCCTTTAATGACAGAGAGCTGGGGAGACAGCTGCTCTTCGCATGGTACCCTGAGGCTGGCTGCCTTCTCCGCCCACCTGGAGAGGGGGCTGGGAACCTCCCAAGCTTCTCTCTCCAGCTGTGAAGGAAGATTGTCTAAATGCTGTGAAAACTTTCTCCCCTGAGGGTGGAAGACGGGGTGCCAAGGCAAGGGAGGAGCCCAGGCTTGCGTGCTCCAGAGGTGGGCCCTGCTTCCGGTCATGGCAGAATCTCATCCTCAGGGACGCTTTCTTTCTTCTCTCCCTCTCAGGCGGCCTTTCCTGGTGTGTGTGGCAGGCAGAGACTGGCACACACCCTAGCAGGCTCCGTGACATCTTAACTTCTTCCCTGACACTATGCCCCCCACACCACCCCCACCCCAGTCACCATCAGGGCCCGAATAA